TTTTATATTAAGGGTGAATTGCCCCAGTTTTAAAAAAATTTCTACAATGATCATATGACTTTATAGTCAATAAGCAATACTTATAAAGCACTGAAGTTAGGTAACTGATTACATGTTTTCTTTAGTACAGTGCTTCTCAAACATTAACATAGTCTGAGATGGGCTTGTGATTCTGCATTTCTAACAATCTTCCAGATGGTGCCTGTGCTTCTGGTCTGTGGACCACATTTTGAACAGTAATCTACATTTGACTATTAATTACAAAAATTTAACCATCTGGTGCCTTCACTAGTGTTTCTAAAAATGGCACACTTTTAGAAGTAATTCATAATTCAACTTTCTGAGAGCTGAGGAGAGCAATACCTTAGGAAGCTTTGTAAATTCTTTGAGGTATAAAGTTTACAAAGGCAATTCCTGCCTTAGAGTTAGTTGTCTTTTGTAACTAAAAGTCAAGTGTAAGAAAACATATCAGAGCAACAAAATACCAGAATACTATAGATGCTACATTACCCAAACAGATGAACTACCCCCTCTTCTTTGCTCTTCACAGAGCTCCTAGTAGAGTTGTGTTCTATAAATAGTGTTTGAATGAAGAAATTAGTTTAATTATATAATAATAGCTAATGTTTGGATAATTTTTGTAGGCTTAAGGCACTAGTTCTCAGGTTTTAGTGTGTGGGGGTGAGATTTATCTGGGGAAATAGCTAAAATGTAGATTACTAGTCTCTACCCTCAGAAATTCTGATTCTGGACAGTGGAGTTCAAGAATCTGTATTTTTAGCTGGTACCAGATGATTCTAATCTAGATACTTCTGGAACATATATTGAGCAACACAGGTTTGAAACAGAAAAAACAATCACCCCAAAACATACAGTAAGAAATACATTTTACAGTATAATCCAGTTGACACATTTTTATCTATTAATATGTCTATGTCTATGTCTATGTCTATGTCTATGTCTATGTCTATATCTATATCTATATCTATATCTATATCTATATCTATATCTATCTATATCTATATCTATATCTATATAAGCCTAATATGCAAATTGTCCCTGTGGGAGTTCTCCTGGGAGACTAATTGCTCACTATGACATGCACTGACCACCAAGGGTGATGTGGAATGAAGGAAGGCCCTGGCAAAGCCAGATGAGCCCTGATCACTGGCCAGGCATAGGGACCCTACCGATGCAGGAATTCTGTGCACGGAGCCTCTAGTATACATATATATCTGAAACAAAATGTTCCCAGAATAATACTAATTGTTGCTATGTCTCATACAGTATGATATTTTCTATCTTATTCATTTTATTACAAAAATATTGCCCACAACTGACTATAATAATTTTACATACTTTACCTCATTTAATTCTCACACAGTGCTGCAAGGTAAGTATTCTTTAACTCCATCTTTTTTGCTTGGAATTTTAACTTTGGAGAAGATAAATGTGCCAATATTTCATATCACCCAAGTGGCAAAGGTAGAATTCAAATTTAGAATGCCTGGCCTTAAATGGCCCTGACTTGCCCTCACCCTGACACAGACATCTTAAAAAAACACACACACACAAAAATAGCAACTTCCAATTCTAGAATACATTCAGACTCTGGTTTCCCTGGTTGAATCCCATCACCTTTGAATACTAATTTGAAATTTCTTCTAAGACAAAAAGAAGTTGACTCAACTTGGACCAGGTGTGAACTCTGATCTATTCTGCTGTAGTCAAAAAAATGTTAAGGAGGAGGTGGCCTAGAACAGTCATGGTCACCTAACCCCTACTGCCAGGGCTGAACCTGGGGTGGGGGGTACTTTCAGAAAAGGGGAAAAGAGCTCTGCAGTCACCTATAAACACATTTGCTACACCTGCATTTCTCATTGTTTGAGAAGGGGAACTTTTTGTCTCCCTCTCCAGGAACATCCTCACTGCAGCATTTTATCAGGAAAAGTAGAACAGTGTCACCAAGTCCTACTCCCAAGCCCCTGCCAAACTCCTGTCCTCCTCACCTTCCCAAATACAGAGCAGGGATAGTTCTGGAAGTTCTCGAGTGAGGCAAAAAAGAATGCCAAGATGAAAAAGGCATGTCCTTCAGTCTTTGTGACTGGGGACAGTGACCAACTTTCTGGGTCAATAAGGATCTACAAAAGTCCCCAGTAGCTGAGCTGTCTCAGTGTTTGAGGTTATTGTTTTCCCTTCAGCAGTTTTTTTGCCAATGGTTCTGAAAACTTGACATTAATACATAATTTCAAACCTTTCATCCAACATACTATTTTTTACCTTTTGAAAAATTGCAAAATTTCTCTGAAAAGTTGCTGAATAAAGAAAAAAAGCATGATTAGATTTTTTTTAAGTGCTAGTATTCAAAATAGAAAATTATTGTGGCAGTTTTTATTCCTTTCTTTTATTAAAGTAGACACACACTTCTTATGAAGCCCAGCTATGGATGTCTCAACTATCCTAAGGAACATAACATTAGATAATTCAAAAGATTATAAACTGATGTAGAATTTTCATTTTTTAAAATATGTTTTATTGATTTTTTACAGAGAGGAAGAGAGTTAGAAACATCGATGAGAAAGACACATCGACCAGCTGCCTCCTGCACACCTCCCACTGGAGATGTGCTTATCCTCTTTATATTTTAAAAGCTTTGTCAGTATGGCTAACTCATGGATCTCTTTTTAAGTAACATGTTACAATCTACTGTTAACCTTTATCCCAAATTTTCTCTAATTTGACCAGAAGAAGTTCTTCAAGTTAGCTCAGGTGTCCCTTTGGCATGGTCCCATCAATTTAGGAGCACTTGCTTACTTCAAGTACAGGCAAATGTTCCAGGTTCACTTTGTACTTTCCTTGCCATAGCCCTAAAATTAGCCATTTCTTCAAGGAATGTTGTTTCCTTTGAGTGGGGAATAGTTTCTAGAAACAGAGATCTGGGCATTAATTGTGCTTTTGCCCCTGGATTATCAGTGTTAACATTTGTGGTATGAACATACATAGTACAGGTATATAGTACTATAGGTATCAGTGTAAGTAAGTAAATACACACATATAATACACACATATACATACTGATATCTCTAGTAGTGTACTGGGTTGTTTTCGTTTTATTGTTTTTTGTTTTCTTCTGGGATCCTATTCTGCAGGTCAAGTAAGGCCCGTCTAAAAAAGTAATATTTAAAATGAAATTGGAATAATATTTAGGAGCCAGCCATGCAGACTCTAGAAGCAGATGATTATAGCAAAGGGAACAGTAAGTACAAAAGCCTAAGGCGGAAATAAGTGCGGTATGTTAAAAAAAAAACACACACACAAAAAAACAGAACAGCCAGGTGGTTGGAATGTACTGAGCTACAGGGAGGTGATTTGAAATGAAGTCTATCAGGCAGGAAAGAATTGCAACATATAAAGCTGTAGAGGAGACAGTAAGGAGTTTAAGATTTTAGTACAATAGAAAGACATTGGAAGATTTTGAGAAGGGAATTCTGGTAATCTGATTTATGTTTCAAAATATTACCCTGTTCAGTAAATGAATGTTCAAAAGCAAGGAAAATAAAGTAGGGAGATAGTTATGAGACTTTCAGTAATATAGACAAGTTTCTCTCCATTTATTAGATATGATTTATCTCTTGGGAAGATATGCACAGGTCTAGTCATAAGTAAGTTAAACACAGAAGGTAATATTACATTTTGTTAATTAATTGTTTTTCCCAAGAGAAAGAAAAAAAAGAAAAAGGAACTAATTACGTGGAGAGTATTTAGAAGAAAGGGAAAAATGATTAATTATATAGTAGGTGTCAGAAATACCGGAAAACCATAAATAGAAATCTGGCTAAGGGTCTCTCAAACTAGGGGTTAACTCTGATTTATCTAGCTTGAGCAAGGTGCCTATGAACATATCTGCTCCCATTTTCCTTCTTTTAAAAAATATTTTTATTTATTTCAGAGAAGGAGGAAAAGGAGAGAGAAACATCAATAATGAGAATCATTGATCGGCTGCGGTGAGGAGCCACTCAGAAACAGATACAGGACAAGGGAAAGAAAATTATTTTATGGATTCTTCAGATTGTTCCAGTTTCCCTTAGAGGAGTAAAATTATATTACTTGCCAGCATTATGACATATTAATATTTGAATGGTAGGTGGTTTAGGTATTTAAAATCTGGAAAAGAGAGGGAGATATTCCACCCAGCTCCACCGCATTGAAAGTAAATTGAAAATGTAAAAAGTATAATGAGATGCTGTGAATGTTTTATTAAAAAAATATACCACTCCCAGCTGGTGTAACTCATGGTTGAGTGTCGACCTATGAACCAGGAGGTCACAGTTCTATTCCTGGTCAGGGCACATGCCCAGGTTGCGGGCTTGATCCCCAGTGCAGGGCATGAGTCTCTTTCATCATTGATGTTTCTATATCTCTCTCACCTTTCTTCTCTGAAATAAATAAAAATATATTTCATATATACATTGCCTTGACCAGTGTGGGTCAGTTGGTTGGCTTCATCCTGGGCACCAAAGCTTGCCAGTTGTATGCCGGGTCAGGGCACATGCCCATGTTGAAGGCTCAGTCCCTGGTGGGAGACATGCAGGAGGCAGATGGTTGATATTTCTCTCTCTCTCTCTCTCTCTCTCTCTCTCTCTCTCTCTCTCTCTCTCTCTCTCTCTTTCCCTCACTCTTCCTCTCTCTAAAAATCAATTAAAAAATATCTGACCTGAAGATTTCTTAAGTATTCCTCCTGTATTATGAAATGCATTATTTTGTACTATTTATTATGTCCTTTCATGAGATACAAGGAGTTGAGCTTAATATTCATGAAATCACTCTAGTTCTTCCTGTAATTTTGTTCTTAGGAATAAGAATCGGCAAGGGAAATAAGACCACTCTATGGTAAAGAAAAAGAAAAGCAATATTAGCATGGGCATGTTAAGAGACTCAGAAGCTAGTGATTCAGTTTTAACTCTACTGATTTTAGTGTATATGAAGTTTCAAAAGGAAAGTCATTCAATATTATGTTGAAGGTTTTATATTTCAACCTCCATGTTTCTTCCTGAAAATATTTTCTTAAGGCTGTCATATTTCTTATCATCATAAAGTGTCATATTCAGTAACTTCTTCTAATGGAATCGTTGACGGGTATGGAAATCCTTTTTCCATTAGCGCTTCCTCCAGAAAAGAGATTGCAGAGCTCCTGTTCACTAGAGAATCATCAGAATACCAGTCCTCGGCTGCTTCTATACTTTCGCTGTAATAAGAATCAGAGGATAAGCTTAAGGATGCATTGCTGCTATTTGTTGTTGAGCCAGTCTCTGTAGGGTCATAAATGATCTTTTTTGTTGTAAGGCAGTATTCATCTTTAGAGTGATCTTTACTTTCTGTAAAAGAAAATTAGATTTACTATGAATATTACATGTTCACGAGCCAAATCTTAGTTACAAGGGCAATGTTTCTATTAAAAATTAGAATCTTGCCCTGGTTGGTGTGGCTCAGTGGGTTGGAGCATCGCCCTGTACACCGAAAGGTTGCAGGTTTGATTCCCAGTCTGGGCACATACCTAGGTTGTGGGTTCTATCCCATTGAGGCCCATTTGGGAGGCAACTGATCAATCTTTCTCTCTCTCTTCCTTACCCTCACTAAAGCTCAGTAAACATATCTTCGGGTGAGGATTTAAAAAAGAATCTTTTTAGGGTTATAATGGACAGGATGATGATATAGTGAAAATTCTGAGTTGCTATCTTCATATGTACAATGTTTAATGTGTAATTAGGAATTAGCAATATTTTTTTGATAATCAAGAGTAGAAAAGTCTATTCTAAATAAAATCAAACTATAAACAGAAGAAGATTCTTAAACCGGGTAGATAAATCAGTTCTGGAAGATCCCTTAAAATTAGAAAAGACATAGTTCCTTAACTATTTATAGCTAAATATTGCCCTATTAAAAAAAAATACATGCCTCCTTGAGTAGGCAGATGACAAAATGTTTGGTCCACAGTGGAAAGGGCCTATGAGTTGGTTTTATACCAATAAAAGTAACAACTAATATTCCTATAGTCACTATGATAGTGTCTTATAATTACAAAGCAGTTCGATAGATTTCCATATTTCATTTATCCTATTAGTAACTCTTTAAGATACTTATTACTTGTACCATTTTACAAGAGAAGACTGGGAATTCGAGAAACAACTCACCACAGATCAGATGCAAAATGGACTTCAATCTAGGTTTTTGTTACTCTAATCTCATGCTTCTCCTATTACGTTATTTATGCTGAAAGTTGGTATTAAAAAATGTTGTTTTAGAAAAGGTCACAGGTATACAATATCCTATACTATATTTTACATATTAACTTTTGATATTAATGCATAATAATTTTAAAGCTATTTTAAATACCTTGTTACATTTTATACTTAGTATTTCTAAAATTATGTAGAAGGATGATGTTTTGAGATACTACACATAATATGTTACTATTTAAAGGGTTATAAAACATTCAGGTCTTTTGACCCTCTGGCATCACTACATGGCAATGACTATGATACCTTTTGGTATAAATAAGGAACAAAAATTAAAATTTCATATTTTAATTTAAGATATAATATTGCAAGTTTTGTTTTCTAAAAGATATATGCTCATTCACATGCTAATAAATTAAAGTTTTCTTGAATTTTCATAGTTTTAAAAAATATTTAGATAACATTTAGGATAGCCTCTTGATTTTTTAAGATGTGATTTGCTCTACGTTGATTATAATTTCTTCTAATAAATTGTTGAGAACAAGTACCTTTTATATGTTCTGTTTCCTTTTTTCTTTGCTCCTCCTATATAAAAAAGTTATTTGTATTTAAAAACTGAATTGTTTTAAAATAATTTCTTTAATATATTTGACTTACATACTTAATAATAATATATTCTAACAAAATTTTAAAAATATATATATTCTATTGATTTTTTACAGAGAGGAAGGGAGAGAGATAGTTAGAAACATCGATGAGAGAGAAACATCAACCAGCTGCCTCCTGCACACCCCCTACCAGGGATGTTCCCGCAACCAATGTACATGCCCTTGACTGGAATTGAACCTGGGACCCTTCAGTCTGCAGACTGATGCTTTATCTACTGAGCCAAACTGGTTCTGGCTATTCTAAAAAATTTTTGATGGAATAATTTTTTCTTCCATGATAAGAATTTATTTCACCAAAATTTATTGACAGAAAAGAAAAAGTGTTGAGTTCATCTGGAAAGAATCTGGACTGGTTCATGAAGGCAGTCTTCAAGATTGGGATTCAAAGGGTGAAATAGAGTTAAACAGGATTACTTCTCTCCATCCTCACTTGGAGTCCCTTGGTTAGAGTTAGAGAGAGCTAACAAAGTAATTAGAATTCCTAGACTTACTCATTTCATTAACTAATAATAACAACAACAAAGTGAATTCTGGCTGAAGGCTTTTATAAAAATACAACTATTCTTGTAAAGCAAATAAAACATTTGATGAAACAATACATTCCAGATGTGTTGTGGGAAGTGTGATGTAGTAGTTCTCAAACTTCAGGACATAGAATCATCATTTTCAAAATGATGACTCTTGGGTATATCAGATCCTACTGAAATATGTTCTCTGGGAATATGCACTGTAACGTACACTGCAACTGTTTCTGATTCGGGTTATCCTTCGGCCACTAGAAAAACAATGCTAGTGCCCATGGTGTTTGGGATGGAGCAGACGAAGTTTCAAAAGGAAAGAGATATTGTCTTTTGTATTCTGGGGAAGCAGTGTTTGTGCTGATCTGCATGGTCCTGTGTTCCCCTCCCCCACAGTGGGCTTGCTTAGGATATAAATATATTATTCCTATCTAATAAAGAGGGAATATGCTGATGGCCATGCCCTCAAAGATGGCAGCGCCTACAGCGGTGCCTAGTCCCCTCCTCCTTGGCAGGGTGGCAGGCGCAAGGCATTGCTGAGCCCTCCCTGAGCCCTGCCTCCGGAGTCCTCCAGTCCCCTCAGCCCTCCAGCTGCCTAGGTCCGGCCCTCCTCTCTGTTTTCAGGGTACATCACCTGAGAACCACTGCTGCCAAGTCACTGCAGCTCGGCAGCTCCAGCATTGAGTGTCTGTCCTTTGGTGGTCAGTGCATGTCATAGTGACCGGTCGAATGGTCGAACAGTCCCTTAGACTTTTATATATATAGATAGTCAAAAAGTATAAACAACCCAAATGTTCTTCAGCTGATAAATGGATAAACAAAATGAGGTATGTCTATAAAATGAAATATTATTCAATAAAAGCTTATAAAAAAGAAATATTACTCAGCTATGAAAAAGAATGACGCATTGATATATGCAATAATAAGAATGAACTTTGAAAAAATTATGCAAAATGAAAGAGTCAGATACAAAAAACTCTGTACGCTTTTATCTATAAGAATTGTCCAGAACAAGCAAATCTATAGATACAGAAAGTACATTAATGGTTGCCTAGGCCTAGGACAGTTGGGAGCAGTGATTGCTAAGGGTATGGAATTTCTTTTTGAGGTGATGAAAGTGTTCTAAATTGATTGTGAAGATGGCTCTACAACTCTGTGAATATCTAAAATCACTGAATTATACACTCTAAATGAGGCAAATTGTATGGTATGTAAATTATATCTCAACAAAGCTGCTATATAGAAAACAAAACTATATAGAGAACATAGAAGGAAATCCTTGTTGGACATGACACTAAAAGCATAATCCAAAGAGGGAAAAAATGAATAAATTGGACTTCCAAATTAAAAACTTATACTTTGCAAAATTCCCTGTGAAAAGAATGAAAAGACAAGCCACTGAATGAGAGAAAATATTTTTAAAATCAAATATTTAAAAAAATTGTTACATAAATCCATACATATAAAATGACAGAATTATATCCAAAGACATTTCTTATACAATGGAATAGTATTCAGTGCTAAACTTATCAATTCTCGAAAAGTCAGGGAAAACCTTAAATGCATATTACTAAGTCAAAGAAGCCAATCTATAAGGGCTACACTATATGATTCCAACTACATGGCATTCTGAATAAGGCAAAACTATGGAAACAGTAAAATGATCAGTGTTTGCAGGGGTTAGAGGTGAGGGAGGAATGAACAGGCAAAGAACAACAGGATTTTTAGGGCAATGAAACTATCCTATATGATACTCCGATAGAGGATGGCTCTCTCCTCACTTCCCTTCTCCCATTTTTTCTCTCTTCTACTATATATATTCTTTTGACTACATATATGATTTTCCCAAAACCCATAGAGTGTGTAACACCAAGGATGAATTCTAATGTAAACTATGGACTTTGAGTGATAAAGATGTCAGCACAAGTTCATTAATTGTAACAAATCCTGGATGTTGATAGTGGGTGAGGATGTGGGGTAAGGGGTATCTGGGAAATCTGTACTTTCTGCTCAATTTTGCTCTGCATCTAAAACTGCTTGAAAAATAAAAGCTGTATTGAGATGCTATTACACAGTCATCAGATTGTCAAAAATTTAGGAGCCTAAAAATATCAATTTTTGTTTGAAGATGTGGAGCAATCCTATCGCTTATTCATGCCTGTAATGCATATTAATACAGCTACTTTGGAAAACAATTTGTAATTATCTAATAATATTGAACATGCACATAAGCCATAAGCCAGCTATTCTACTGTTAGATATATCCCCCATAAACATTTCCTTACAAGCAAGCAAACCCCCCCAAATATCCATAACATAAAATTTGATATATTTATAAATGGAATGCCATATAACAATAAAAATAATGAACTATAGGTATATGTGCCAACTTGAATGAGTAATATTGCACAAAAAATTTTAATACATATAAAATTTAATAAAATATTGTTCAAGAATCTATAACATTCGTGGTAAAACTGTAAAAAAGGCAAGGACATAGTTAATTGCGATTGTAGAACAGTGGGTCCTTCAGTGAAGGGTGGGAGTGTGGGATGTAAGAGGTAAAGACTCCGGACACATCAAAGGTACTGGTAATGTTCTATTTCTTAGTCTGAGTGGTGGGTATAAAAATTCCATTTATTAGTCTTTAAACTGTGTTTGTATATTCCTTAGTATGTATGTTGTATTTTACAATAAGAGCTCTTTTAGAAATCAAGCTGTAGTTCTATATTAATTAAGCCACATTTAAAAAATAATTTTCACCCTAGCCAATTTGGCTCAGTGATTGGAGGTCCTGGGTTTGATTCCAGTCAAGGGCATATACCTCCATTGCAGGCTCGATCCCTGGCTCTGGTCGGGACTCATGCAAGGAGGCAATTAATTGATATGTCTTCTTCACATCGATGTTTCTCTCTGTCTCTCCCCCTCCCTTCCACTCTCTAAAAAATAAATGGAGAAAATATCCATGAGTGAGGATTAACAACAACAAAGTAATAATTTTTATCCTCTTGCTTGTCTGTTGTTGGAGGAAAGAAACAGTCCAACACACTGGCAGAAACAGAGATGAGAAAATGAGTGACTATATGGGAAAGAGTCTTTTATATACTGAAACTGATTGTGGCTGAGGAAAACACTATCTATACTATGTTTTACTATATTTTTCATTCTGAATTAGGTTCCTTTCACTGACTACCAGAGCCCCAAATTTGTGTTTACTTATATATGACTTATCTCTCCCACTCTATAAATCTCATGAGAGCAGGGACTCTTGTCTCTCCTTGTTCACTACTAAATTTCCAGTTGCCTAGAATAGCGCCTGACATATAAGCACTTATTATGTATTTGCTGAATGAACAATAAACAACCTAATTAAAATTTAGTACCTCTATATATGTACTTCTTTCATTATAGCACTCAAGACATTTTTCAATTGTTTTTTTGTATGTATCCACCATTAGATCTGATGACACCATTATATCAATAGTACCTAGCAGAATTCCTAGCATATGATGAGTCTCAGTAAATTCAATTAATATTAAATACGTACATAGAAACAATTTTTTTGCTTTTAAACTTTATTTCAACATAGCATAGAAACAGTTTTTTCTGCAATGCTATCTCTATTTCAAACTATCCTTCATTTGAAAGTCAGAGCTTTCTTTAATAACTTTAGAATTAATTTGATCATTAAACCTGCCTGCTTAAACCCCTCCCATCATAATAATGGTATACATGTATGGTGCTCACTATGTGGCCGGGGACTATTCTGAGCGCTTTTTTAAAAAATATATTTATATTATTGATTTTTTACAGAGAGGAAGGGAGAGGGATAGAAAAATCGATGAGAGAGAAACATTGACCAGCTGCCTCCTGCACACATCCTGCTGAGGATGTGCCCCCAACCAAGGTACATGCCCTTGACCGGAATCGAACTTGGGACCTTTCCGTTCACAGGCTGACGCTCTATCCACTGAGCCGAACCGGTTTCGGCATCTGAGCGCTTTTTATATATTAATTCATTTAATTTCCATAACAATTCTATGGAGATGAAATCATCCTCATTTTTCAGGTGAGGAAACTGAGGCACAGAAAAGTTAAGTAACTTGCCTACAACTACACAGCTAGTCGTCGGAGAGCAACGATTGTAACCTCTTCAATCTATGCTCTTGACCATAACCCCATAATGCCTATATTGGATTTGTAGAACGTGTAGTAAACTCCAAATCCGTAAACTGCAAATAAGGCTCCTCACAATGATCTTTTCCCACCACAGCCTTCTATAAACCCTAGGCTCCAAATGTTACCAAATTTTTTCAAACATTCTGCCTTACATAGCTACAAGCCTTTGAACATATTGCCCTTTGTTTTCTTTCCTCTTGGAAAACTTCTGTTCACTTCAAACCCAGCTAAATGTCTTCTCTGTGAAGGCTTTCTTATTTTATGCTCCCTTGTCTGCATTTCTTCAATTTTGTGGCTCTTATCGCCTTATGTTCTAATTTTTCCTTTATATGATTTTCATCTCTACTAACTTTGGGATCATCTAGGTCTGGACTCATGTCTTATTTGTTTATGTAGATGAAGTGCCAAAACCAGTGTTGCCATATTTAAGGCACTCAAAAAATGTTTGTTAAACAAATAAATAGCCATTAAGTTCGACTTGAGTTCAATATTCAAGATGTATATGAAACTTTGACATCTTATCATTTTGTTGCTATTTTACCATTAATGTTATAAAACCTCTAAAGTATTTGTTTTGTTTATCTACATCACAGTTTTAAGTTTCTACTTTCCCTTGTTTTACATCACACTTTTTTGACATTTACATTTAAAAAAAGTTAATTATGCATCTGCCTTTCACACTTGTTCTAACTAGCTAGCACCTTGAATGTAGAGTTCGCCTTACTATCCTCAATGTAGTGGGGGGAGGGGGTGCAGAGCTTCTAATATAACGAAGGCTTAATAAATTCTTAATTTTAATTAGTTGGTTCTGTTAGATTATCTGGTTATCTGAGTATCCTCTTATCTCCAAATCTCTTTCCTCTGATAGGCCTGGCAATTTTGCTTTGTTTTTCTTAGAAGTTATTCTTCACCCTGTAACAATCACAATATAGAGATGTAGGGTAACAGCTATGCAAGAAGACATTTTCATTTAGTTTTTCAGTGTCCTATGATGTAAACGCCAACTAGTTTGAGTATTTAAATTTAGCTCATGTTATTGTTTCTCAGACTGAAAAATAACTGTAGCTACCCTTTCAAAACTGAAAGACAACAATGCTAATGACATGGTATCAAAAAAATTATTTGAAAACATTGCACTCTACCTGTAATTGGAATATTCCAGTATGAAAATTTCGAGAAATAAAAACACACTGAGAATCTGCTTTACTCTCCACCTCTGATGGTCTTTGGCTGCATCTCTTATCAGTTGCTTTAAATTGGGAGTTTTGAAGTATTTCTCTGAAAAAATATTTTATAGAGACTGTTATTTAAAATTAATTTAAATATTAATTTTATAAACCAGTTAAATTTTATAAACCAGTTAAATATTATAAACCAGTTAAAATTTTGTTTCCAATTTTAAGTGTTTAAAATTCAGAATAAATATATTACTAAATATTTTTTAAAGCAAAAATCAATTTATATATTCCTTCCTGATGTTACTGATTTCACTGTAACTATTTTATTCTTAGAATGTAAATTAAAGTCCTTCTTATGTAGGGTTAATATTTATAGTTTGAAGATCAACCATTAATTTTTCTAAATTAAAAAAAATTTTCAATTGGGTTTCCAAAAAACTGTTGTCCCAGAAAGAAATTCACTACAGACTGATTCATTTGCCTTTCAGCATAACCATTATTGTTTGTTTCATTTTTGATTCTTATAAGTGTATTTCCAATAGGACATGATCTCATTCATCTGGTGGAAATGATGAACAACATAGACTGATGAACAAGAACAGACCCAGAGACAAGGAGGCATGGATCAGACTGTCAGACCTCCAAGGGAGTGTAGGGGAGGGTGGGGATAAAAGGGAGAGATCAGCCAAAGGACTTGTGTGCATACATATGAGCCTAATCAGTGGTTAAGGACAACAAGGGGGTGGGAGCATGCGTGGGGAGGGGTGGAGGATGAGAATAGGGGGGATGAGAACAAATATGTGACACCTTAATCAATAAAGAAATTTTAAGACATTTTAAATTACACTTTATGTTCAATATTATTCTGTTATTCTGATTGGTCACAGATGTGCAATATAGTGGTTAGAAAATCATGTACTTCACAGAGTGGCCCCCCCCCCCCAATATTTTAAGTACCCACCTGCTCCATACACAGTTACTAAGATATTATTGTTTATATTCCCTATGCTGTAATTCATGTCTCTGAGACCAATTTGTATTAATCCCTTCACCTTTTTCACCCAGTCCCCAAACCTCCTCCCCTCTGTCAACTGTCAATCTGTTCTCTGTGTCTAGGAGTCTGTTTCTATTTTGTTTGTTTATTTTGTTCTTTAGTTTCCATATATGAGTGAAATCATATGTAACCATGAGTTTTTTATATCCTTCTTCCTGGTTGTGAGATAATTGATTGATTTTAATGTTAATTAGTCTTTTCGTAAATTTGCCTTTAATGACAAAGGAAATTAAGTGAAATAAAACTCAATGGTCAATTTTACATTGAATAATGTCTCTGACAAAAGTAAATGGAAGGAAACTAAATTGAAACTAATGACTTACAAAAGAAGAGTACCTGTGCTCTTTATCCATACAACCACAATTTTGAGACAGGGTTTAAAATAATAAGGCAGCAAATAAAACCCCAGATGATCAAAGACAGGTATGCATAAGGGAATGTAGTTTCTAACAGTCATTCTAAATACAATGATTTAATAATACTGTAATGTTAATTGCCATTTCTTCTTTCAGAGATTCTAGAGAATTTCCAAATTAATTCTAGAATCTACTGTATATATATATATTACTTAATGAGGTATTAACAATTAGGGTTTATTCAGTCACTGAATTCAATTCACTTAAGAGTTATTGAGTACTTACTAAGTGTCAGGCATTGTGCTGGGAGTTGTATATATAGTGGCAAAGGAAAATAAACAGTTACTACACTTATAGAACTGTCAGTGCTCTCATGGAACTTAAACCCTACTAAGGAATACAGACAATAAAATAATCACACACACAAAAAACTGCAAGTATGGAAAGTGTTATCAAGGAAAGCTACCTGTGGTTAGAAAGGTCAGGGAAGGCTTTCTGAGGAAGGGGTAGTTGAATTGAACATGTGAAGAAAAGAGAGTAATTATTAGATAGTGTGGTGCAGGAGGTGAGATGTGGGTGTAAGGATATTCTAGTCAGAGAGAATATCAAGGCCAAAGTCCAAGTGGCCAGATTAGAACATTGTAGTAGAAGCACAGAAAGCAAGAGAGAAAATGGAAGATAAATTTGGGGACTATGCATGGGAAGACCATGTAGGGATGTAAAAGTCATGTCGTTTTTGTCTTTATCCTAAAAGTTATGGTAAATCCTTTTATAATATAGTGGGGATGGGGTACAAAGGTGATGTCACTTTTATTTGGACAATGTCTGCCTTAAATATGGAGGAAAGATTAAACAAGGATGATAGTGAAAGTAGGGGGTCACTTATAACTCCTACTGCAGTAGTCTATGTGGAGGATAACATTTGGATAGGGTAGTGGTAACTGAAATGGATAGATCTCTTTCTTTCTCCCTGTCTCCTCTTTCCCCATCTCTCTCAAATCAATTAACACACACACACACACACACACACACACACACACACACACCCCACTCTCTGGTTAGTCTCATCCAGTTCTATGCCTTTAGAAAATCTAAATCTTTAGTCCTGACTTCTCTCATGAAATTCATATTTGTCAAATCCAACTGTCTGTTTAAAATTTCCACCCGGATGCCTAATGGGCTTTCAAAAGTACATCCAAAATACAACTCCGAGTTTAAAACCACTCCCTCAGCTTACTCTCTCTCCTCTAATCATCTCCTTATCCAGTAAGTGGCACGAACAAATACTCAGTTGCTCACAGTACCTAGGTGTTAGCATTAATTGGGCCATTTCACTTATTTTTCTTTACCTCATGTAATTCATCAAGCCCTCTAACTTAACCTGCAAAACATTCCAAATCCAACTCCTTCTCCCCATCTCCTCTACTTCCCTATTAGTCAAGACACTCTCATCTCTCACCTGGACTATGCAAAGCCTCCTAACTTGTCTCTCTGCTCCCACTCTTGCTCCATTAGAATTCAGGCTTCACAGGCAAGAAAAATCTTTTAAAAATATGTCAGAACTTTCATACATTGCCAGCTGGAGTGTACACCAACTTTGAAAAACTGGCAGGTTCCTATAATGTTAATCACATGATCCATTCAGGTATTTATCCAACAGAAGTGAAAGCACGTGTACAAAAATATTTATACAAGAATGTTCACAGCAGCCTTATTCTTAACAGCTAAAAGCTCGAAATGACCCAAATGCCCATTGACAGAAGATAAATAAACAAACTCAGATGTATCCATACAATGGTATGCCAGTCATCAATAAAAAGAATGAACTGCAGATAAAATTCAGCAACATAAATAAACCTCAAAAACATGTTAAGTGAAAAAAAGCAGGCATAAAGTCCATATGATTTCATTTACATGAAATTTAAGAATAGGCAACATTAATCTATGATGATAAAAATTAGAATGATGACTGCCTCTGGGTAGAAGGAGGGAGTAATACCTGGAAAGGATTGTGAGGGAACTTTACAGGGTGATGGAAAAGTTCCATATCTTGACTGGGATTCATGGGAAATTTTGTTGAAATTCATCGTAATACATTTAAAATCTACGCACTTTTTTGTATGTGAATTATATGTCAAACTTTATGAAGTGTTTAATTCATCTATTAAACATCTATTAAAGGTGAAATTATTACCTTTAATATAAGAATACTATTATGAAATCTAAATGAGATAACATATAAAGCACATACATGCTTAGTATGTAGTAAACACTCAATGTTAGTTATTATTATGATGGTAATGTGTTATTCCCCTGCTTAAATCCTGATAGCACAAACAGTAAAATGAAACCTCCATATTCTAGCCCAGCTATTTATTTTTCTTTTTTCAATTTAAATTTTTTATTGTTGACTAGTCCAGCGATTTTCAACCAGTATGCTGCATCACATTGGTGTGCTGCAAGATTTTTTAAAACATGCTGATAGCTGACTATTCAGTCAGGAACACTGACCTATTTTCCCTTATATTGTCAAAAAAAAAAAAAAATGACAACAGTCAATGCAATAGCCGTCTAGTGTGAATGAATCAAAATTATACATATTTTTTGTTAGATTGGCAAAAAATACATTTTTTGGTGTGCCACAGAATTTTAGTAATTACTTCATGTGTACAATGAGATGAAAAAGTTTGAAAAGCAATATAGAGTTACCCCCCCAAAATTAAAAATGGAACTGCCTTATGACCCAGCAATTCTACTTCTGGGAATATACCCAAAGAATCTGAAACACTAATTTGAAAAAAAAAGTATGTATCCCTATGTGCAGCATTATTTAAAATAGCCAAGATTTGGAAACAGCTTATGCGCTCATTAATAAGTGAGTGAATAAAAAAGGTATGGCACATTTACATAATGGAATACTACTCAGTCCTTTAAAAAAGTGAAATCTTACCCTTTGCAAAAGCATGGATGGACCTGGAGAGTATTATGCTAAGTGAAATAAGCCAGTCAGAGAAAGACAAATACCATGTGATCTCACTTATGTAAACTAACAAACAAAATAGAAACAGACTCATAGATACAGAGAACAGACTGACACCTGTCAGAGGGGAGGGGTTTGGGAGGTTGGGTGAAAAAGTTGGAGGGATTAAACAAAACCAACCAAACAAACAACAAAAAACCCACAAACAGCTCATAGACCCAGAGAACAGTATGGTGATTGCCAGAGAGAAAGCAGGGTGGGGAAAGGTAGAAGAGGGTAAAGGGGGCATAAATGGGGATGGAAGGAGACTTGACTCGAGGTGGTGAACACAGAATACAATACACAGATGATGTATTACAGAATTGTACACCTGAAACCTATATAATTTTATTAACCAGCATCACCCAGTAAATTCAATAAAAGAAGAAAACACCAAATTTTAGGTGTTAAAAGGAACTGAGGTGTCAAGTATCCTTTTTTCTGTGTCTGGGAAAAGACTATAGAATCTTTTCTTAAGTATCTTTTCTTAAGTATCTTCTGAAGAAAGGGAGTCTTCCTGTCAGTTATGTTTTTAGCCCCTATTAGTAATGAAAACAATTTTAAATTTCTGGCCTTAAACTATAATTCAAACATTTGTCTTCTAGAAAATACAATAGATCTCATTATTTATTAAATTTTTAATGCATGAAGATTGCTATTATACTATTTGGACAATTATACTACTAAAACTTCTCTCTTCAAGCTACTTCGAACATGTAAACTTTCCTCTCCCGATCAAAGGGTCGATAACCAAATCTCAAATTACAGAACCAACACTATTTTTGTTATTTAAACTTAATACCATTTGAAAAACTCTTTCATTGAATTTATAAAAGGAAAAGAAGTAAAATATTCCGATAAACCTTACCTCCGTTTGCAAATCAGGAACCACAAAGCTGATGCCAAAGCAAAGAAACCAATTCCAAAAGCAACAGCAGAAGCAGCCAGAAAATAGGTTAAGTGATTAGAAAAACCTATACAAATAAATTATAAAAGAATATTTCACGCATGTATCTTTAATCTCTAGGTAAAATTTAATAATATATTTCAAATGATACTATATAGTGTAGTGTTAAGACATTAACTAGGAAGTTGGGAGACCTGAATTCTGCTCCTGTGCAATTCTCATAAAATTTAAGATCCTAATCATGCTGATTAGGGCCCAATGTGCTCAACTCTGTCTGACCCTGCCAGGATGGGAGACTTCGGTTTTATTTGTTTTTGTATGGCTGTCACCTCCTTTTTTTCTGATCTAGTTTTCTCTCTTCCCTGTCCAGCTGAGAATTTTTATTTTTCTGGCGTCATTCTTTGCAGTCTTCCAAAATAAGATACTTCATCTAAAGATTTTGATTATTAATCACAACACAAAGTTAGATGAGGATAATAAAGAATAAGTATAAGGAATTTATAAAGATCTTAGGAATTTTTAAACATGTTATCTATACTTTATCTCATGAACAGTAACATATCGTAGCCAACCCTAAATAAAAGCAATATAAAATAATAGCATAGCAAAAGTTTATAATTGAAAAAGCTTATAGGACTTATAGGTATAACTCCTTCATTAAAGTTGAGGCCCAGGTAGTCCCAGCTGGTTTGGCTCAGTTGATAGAGCATCGGCCTGAGGACTGAAGAGTCCAGGTTCAACTCTGGTCAAGGGCACATTCCTGGGTTGTGGGCTTGATCCCCAGTAGGAGGCATGCAGGAGGCAGCTGGTCAGTGATACTCCCTTATCATTGATGTTTCTATCTCTCTCTCCCTCTCCCTTCTTCTCTGAAATATATATATATATATATATATATATATATATATATATATATATATATATATAATTCTTTTTTAATTGAGGCCCAGGTAAGAGAAGTAACTGACTAAGGTTAGGTAGCAAATTAAAGCCAGTCCTCTGTTTTCTGTTTTTATTATTATTATTATCTTTATACCAATTATCTTAATTAATACTAGTATGTATTCAAAAGAAATAGGAATAAAGAAAGGTAATTATAGTCAGATAGGTCAAGTATGCATTAAAATTCTGAAATCTCCTACTTCAGCAAAAAAGGAATTATAGAAAACTTTCACAGAAGGCTGTATAGAACTTGAAGGGCCCTAAAACAACCTAGGAATGTATTATTTGAGAATAAAAGGGTTCAAAAATATAAAACTAACAGAAGCTCTTTATGTGTATGCATATTATAAGTTCTACTAGGGATATGACATGATAAAGTCTTTGCTCTCATATTTTAATTGCTTCCTATGTAATTTCCAGCTTCCAAGAATCTTCGTTTTTTTCCTTAATTTCCAGGTTAAGAAATCTTAGTTTCCTGGGGTTCATATATGTCTATATTTGAGAATTAATGGTACCAAGAAAGTTATATAAGGCTATATATCAAAATTATATTCATAAAAAAGCCTTCTATTATAAATGCCCCAAATTAGGAAGTCAATTAAATGATCTGTAGTAATAATATTAGAAAACGACATTAATTATTACTAGACCTAATAATAAAAGCATAATATGCTAGTTAGACCGGACAGCCAAACAACCTTCCAGATGAGGGCTGAGACAAGCTGCCCTGGCTGTAAGGGCCAAGCCCCTTGCATAAATTTTGTGCATTGGGCCTCTAGTGATATTATAAAATAAAATAAAATAAAATAAAATAAAATAAAATAAAACATCCTTTAATTATTTAATTATCTTTTGAACAAGATAATTTGTTGTGGGGATGGTCCTGGTGTATTGTAGCAAAGATGTTCCCAGATATTAACAAATGCACTCTGAGGCATAGGCAAAATTGTTCCCAGCTGATGATTACTGACATAGTGGTATAAAATGTTAGATAGTATTAAATGATAAAAGCAAGATAGATAAAACCCATATTTTAAAATTTTTTTCAAGGTTTAGTTGTACTCAAATATAAGATAAGGATATCTATGGACAAAAGAAGAAAAGCAACAGAGAAATAAGTGTAGGCTAAAACCACAGGCATGCTAGACACTGAGTGAGATCTGGAAGCAGGAATTAGCTAAAAGCAGCAAAGAAAATCATTGAGACAAGACTAAACCACCCTCTGGCACAGTGAATGAAGATATTACCAAAATCTTTTAGAGAAAAGATTCCTGAGCCATCAATAAAAGACCAAAAATGGACTAAGGAGGGATCTTGGAAATAAAAAATTCAAAAATGTTAAGATGGAGTAAAGTCTTCCTTGAATGCAATTAATGAAATAAAAATAGTTTGAAGAAATTTGTTCAATTGTATACAGAAATAAAAATATGGTAAATAAATTATAATACTTGGAAAATATTAAGAGTATGTAACAAACATAAAGCTAATACGGTTCCAAAAGAGAGAATAGAAAAGTAGCAGAGAAGCAATGTTCAGAGCTACTACGACCTAAGATTTTTACTTTAAAAAATTTTAAATTCACAAACAGTAAATTTGCATGTGTTTGCAGTTTTATAAGTTTTAACAAATGCAAAGAGTCTTCAATCACCATCACAATCAACTTACAGAACACTTCCATGACCCTAAATACATATATTAGAAAAGAAATCTGAAAAAGAATGAGCTTTATAAGTTGATAAAGACTAGCAAGCAAAATAAGCCCAAATGATATAGAGGAAGGAATTAAAGAACAGAAATTAATGAAATGCAAATTAAGATTTGTGGTCAAGACTAATAAAATGGCAAATCTCCACTAAGTTGAACCAAATTAAAAGAAGGCATAAGTAAACAATATTAAAAATGAAGAATGGACATGCCGAGACCGGTTTGGCTCAGTGGATAGAGCATTGGCCTGTGGACTGAAGGATCCCGGGTTCGATTCTGGTCAAGGGCATGTGCCTTGGTTGTGCAAGAGGCAGCTGACTCTCTCTCATTGATGTTTCTAACGCTCTATCCCTTTCTCTTCCTCTCTGTAAAAAATCAATAAAATATATATATTTTAAAAAGAATGAATATAGTTATAGCAGAGATTAAAATAAGAAAATTTATACTAATATCTCAAAACTTATACTAAATTATTATATATACCTAAAAAATGACTTACAAAAAGTGACTCAAGAAGTAATAGAAAACCTAAACGAACATGTATCCATTAAATTGAATCAGCAGTTACAATTTCCCCCAAAGAAAAAAGCAGGCCCCAATAACTTTATAATTTCTACTGTATACCCATGATTCAAGTATTTCTTATCTTATACAGGCTCTTCCAGAAAATAGAAAGAGATTGTTGGCTGTTTGTTCAAATACATTTTCCTCTTCTTCCCAGGCAAAAAGGTAGACTACATGTCCCAGCTTCCCATACCATTAGGTGAAGCCATGTGACTGAGTTCTAACCAGTGGAATTTGAGTAGAAGTGATGTCATAAAAAGCTCCTAAGCACCTTTCTCCATGTTCTTTCTCTTTTGGGATGATGATGATCTGAAGGGAACTTTGGGACCCATGTCATCATGACTCTAATTGACACTCAACCCAAATAAAATGAAAACACAACACACCAAAATTTATGGGATGCCACCAAAGCAGTACTCGGGGGGGGGGGGGGGGGGAGGGGGCTCAGAATCTATACCAAAGAACTGCAATATGAGAAAAAATGTGTGAATAATCTTAAAAACTAGAATAAGTTGAGCAAATTAAGCCCAAAATAAACAGAAGGAAAAAAAATATTAAAAACTAAAGCGAAACAGAAAACAAAAACAATAGAGAAAACCAATAAAACAAAAAAGTCTTTCTTTGAAATCTACAAAATTGAAATCCTTTAGCTAGACTGATCAATAGAAAGAAAAAGGGTCTCTTGTCCCACTCCCAGATGCCAAAAGGAAGAAGCCCAAGGGATAAAGGTGGCACTGGCCCCTACTGTCGTGAAGCAGAAAGCCAAAAAGGAGGTAAATTCTGCTTGAGAAAAGGCCCACGAATTTTGGCACTGGACAAGACATCCAGTCCAAAGGGGACCTCACTTGCTTTGTCAAATGGCCCTGCTACATTTGGCCGCTGGGGCAAAGCTTATACTCTGCCGTATACGCGCCTGAAAGCACCTCCTGTGATTAACCAGTTCTTCCAGGCGACTTAACTGCTTAATCTGGCCCACAAGTACAGACAAGAGGCAAAGCAAGAGAAGGAGCAGAGATTGTGGGCCTGGGCTGAGAAAAAAAGCTGCTGGAAAAGGGACTATCCCCACCGAGAGGCCACCTGTCCTGGTCAGGGTTAACACCGTCACTCCCTTAGTCAAGAATAAGAAGATGGAGCTGGTAGTGACTGCACAGGATGTGGATCCCCATCGAGCCGCTTGTCTTCCGGTCTGCTCTGTGCTGTAAGCTGGGATTTCCCAGCTGCATTCTCCAGGGGAAGGCCAGGCTGGGGTGTCCACAGGAAGACCTGCTCCTCCATCACCTTCACACAGATTAACTTGGAAGACAGAGCTGCTCTTGCTAAGCTGGTGGAAGCTAACTGGACCAATTATAGTAACTGGGCAGATAAGATGAGATCTGCTAGGCCTGTGTCCAAAGTCGGTTGTTCAAATTGCCAAGCTGTGAAAGTCAAAGGCTCAAGGACTGGCCACCCACCTGGACTAAGTATATACACTACTGAGTTTTCTCATAAAAGTGATAAAAATTCTCCTTAAAAAAATGGGGACAATTACAAATATCAGAAATTAGAGAAGTGACATTATTACAGGTTCTATGAATAGGAAAAGCATAGCAAGGCAATTTTTCTGAACAATTTTATAGTAATAAATTTAACAACTTACATGAAATGGAAAAATTCCTCAAAAAACATAAATTTCCAAGCTTATGCAAGAAGAAATGGATGTCATAGACAGACACATATCAATGAAAGAAATTGAAGTTGTAGTTAAAATTCTACCTACGAAAATAAACTCTATGTCCAGGTGGCTTCACTGGTAAATTCTACTAAATATTTAACGATTAGCATTAAATAAAAATTAGTATTAAAATAGTACTATTGAGTAGAAGTGATGTCATAAAAAGCTCCTAAGCACCTTTCTTCATGTTCTTTCTCTTTTAGGCTTAACTGGGATGAAGATGATTAGAAGGGAACTTTGGAAGCCATGTCATCATGAATCTAATTGACACTCAATCCTAATAAAATGAAATTTGTGTAATTCTACACAAATGCCTCCAAAAATTTAAATACAAGAGAACACTTTCAATTCATTCTATGAGGCCAGCTTTACCTTGATATCAAAACCAAACATGAGCCCTAACTGGTTTGGCTCAGTGGATAGAGCGTCGGCCTGTGGACTGAGGGGTCCCGGGTTCGATTCCGGCCAAGGGCATGTGCCTAGATTTCAGGCTTTATCCCCAGTGGAGGATGTGCAGGAGGCAGCTGATCATTGACTCTCTCTTATCATTGGTGTTTCTATCTCTCTTTCCCTCTCCCTTCCTCTCTGAAATCAATAAAGATATATTTAGAAAAAAAAACAAAACAAGAACAAGAGCCAGAGCACGAAGAAAGAGAAGAAATTATAAACTGAACATAAATGCAAAATGCATCTATGTTATGCATTATGAACATAAATGCAGAAATGCTAAACAATATTTTAGCAAATAAATACAACATTATATTCAAAGGATAATATATCATGACCAATTAAAAGGATAATATATCATGGCCAAGTGCAGTTTATCCCAAGAATATAGGGTTGGTTTAGCATTTTAAAACCAATCAAAGAAATATGCCATATTAACAAGTTTGGAAAGAAAATTCGTATAATCAACATGGATCTATGTCAATAGACAGGAAACAATTTGATAAGATCCAACATCTATTCCTCCTTTGAAAAAAAAAAAAAGGCACAAAAAACAAATCTCAGGAAACTACAATAGAAGGGCAACTATCCTAGTATCAGGTTCCTCAACCTGATAAAAAGCCATTTAAAACAAGTAATCAAACTTAATGATAGAAGACTGAATGCTTTCTTTCTAAAATCAGGAGCAATACAGGGACTTTTGTTCTCACAACTTTTATTCAAAAACTGGAGGCCCGGTGCACAAAATTCATGCACAGTGGGTGGTGGAGTGGTGTGTGTGTGTGTGTGGGGGGGGGGGGGGCGGTTGTCCCTCAGCCCAGCCTGCACCCTCTCCAATCTGAGATCCCTTTTACAATCCAGGACTGCTGGCTCCCAACTGCTCGCTTGCTTGCCTTCCTGATTGCCCCTAACCGCTTCTGCCTGCCAGTCTGATGACCCCCTAACCACTTCCATGCCAGCCTGATTGATGTCTAACTGCTCTCCTGCCAGCCTGTTTGCCCCCAACTTTCCTCCTCTGCTGGCCTGGTCACCCCTAACTGCCTTTCCTTGCAGGCCTGGTGCCTCCCAACTGCCCTCCCTTGCTTGCCTGATCACCTACAACTGCTCTCCCTTGTAGGCCTGGTCCCTCCCAAGTGCCCTCCCCTTCTGGTCATCTTGTGGTGGCCATCCTGTGTCCACATGGAGGCAGGATCTTTGACCACATTGGGGCAGCAATGTTGTGAGTTGGAGTGATGGTCAATCTGTATATTACTCTTTTATTATATAGGATATACTGATGGTTTTAGACAGTGAAACCGGGCATGAAAAAAAAAATAGAAGGCATCTTGATTAAAAAATAAGAAATAAATGTTTATAATCTCAGAGTTATAGTCTGAATGTTTTTGTGCCCCCCCCCCAAATTCATCTGTTGACATTCTAATGCCCAGTGTGATATTGGTAGTCAATGGGTATTATAGATGGTAGGGCCTTCGGAGGTACCTGGAGCCCTCATGAATGGGATTAGCACTCTTATGAAAAAGATCCCACAGAGCTTCCTAGCCCCTTCCAATCATGTGAGGAAACAGCAATAAGAAGAAGGATTTCTCCAGACACAAAACTTGACCATGCAGGTACCCTAACCTCAGATTTCCACCTACCAGAACTGTAAGAAATAAATTCTGTTGTCTATAAGCCAATCAGTTTGTGGTATTTTATAATAGTAGTTCAAGTGGACTAAAATACACAGAGAACATGATAATCAATGTAAAAAAAAAATCTGTGGAATTAAAATGAGCCCTGGGTGGTTTGGCTCAATGGACAGAGCATTGCCTTGTGGACTAAAGGGCCCGGGCTTGATTCTGGTCAAGGGCACATACCCCGGTTGCAGGCTTGATCCCCAGTAGGGGGCATGTGGGAGGTAGCCTATAGATGATTCTCTCTTATCATTGTTGATCCTTTTTCTCCCTCTGCCTTCCTTTCTAAAAATTTTTTTAAATTTTTTAATTAGAACTACCATATGATGCAGCAATCCCACTACATCTACCTCAAGAGAGTGAGGGGGTTTGAAAGATTAAATTATCTAATGAATGAAAAACATATTAAAAGCTGGGGAGGGGGGAATTATTAAATGTTATTAATCTGGTAAGAGTAAAAGTCAAACTCCTTAATTTCCAAAACAGATCAGATACTTATCACTTGAATATCTGTCATATAAAATACATTTTTCCTTCAGTAAATAATAAATGACTTCGAATCACATCACTCAGATAGAA